TGTATGTAAGGAAAATGCATTGAAATCTCCTAGGACAAGAGATGCCATAAATTACCTTATCAGAGCTGATGACCAGAAATTAAAAATGTTGCTGTTATATTAGAGCTGTTGGTGTTTGTTGGATTTTAAATCAGCCCACTGAAACCAGAAAAAGTTTTTTTGTTTTTTTTTCTTGCTATAACTTTTGCTAATTTATGGAGTACACTGTTTATCCTTGATAATATTGGGCACATCTCTACATCACATTCATTATAATGAATGATTCAAAATATTTGAAACTATTCTTATACAAAACAGCCTCCATTAAACACAATATCTTTTGCTATAAGGAAAGGCATTTGAAAATTTTAAGAAATGTGTTGTGACTCTTAACCTTAACAGATATTTTTTTAAAATTTCAAATGTATTTCCCTTACAGTTACAAACTGTTCTATATATCACTTGTATTCAATAAAAATTATAACTTTTTTAAACAAATGCCTAGATGAAATTAGTCAAAACTTTTCTCAATCTTTAACTGATAACATTAATGTTCTTGATAATGAATTGATGGTTTACACAAAAAAAATCACAGTTTTTTTTTTATATAAATTTGATCTGGTTGTGTGACAGCTGATACACAAACTGGGAAAAATATAATGCAAAACTGAATAGACAAACCACTTGGGATGATTTTAATATAATTAAATACTTGCTGCTTAAATATATGTTTGTATATATATATATATATATATATATATATATGTGTGTGTGTGTGTGTTTGAAGGGGTGTTGAAAAGTTCTTGACTCAAGCAAGAGGGGATTAAAAAAGAAAAAACTTTTAATATTTGGTCAGATTTTGGGAAGTAGTCAGATTGAGAACTTTAAAGCATTCCCTAGTCTTGCAGGGATACCTGACATTGCCTTGAAGTGGGGTAGGGGATAACTTCAAATAGAACAACACTAGAAGAACATGTTTTTATGTAACACAAAAATGAAAGTAAGTTTATTTACACCTGAAAAAGTTGCTGTTACTGAAAAGATATTCTGATGCATAAAGCAAATGATGTAGTCTGTTAGAAATGGTTTCTAGATAGACAACATGAATTCTTCTTCCATGGAATGCCATTATGAAAAGGTTTTTTAGAAAGTCAGACTCTAGAACCACAGAAAACTGACCTTTTTAGCATTTTATACTTTCCATTTTAAAAAAAAATAGATACAACTTGAATGCAAGAAAAAAAAAATTTGTGGAGTTAATGGAAGAAGTACAGTGAATGATTGACCATGTCAATAGTGGTTTGCAAAATTTTGTGTAGAACATTTCTTAGGGAATAATTCTCAATTGTCTAGGTGGTGTTGAGTGTAATCAAATTATTATTTGAAAAGAATCAGTATATAACACAGAAGATAACCAGGATAGTTGAAATATCCAAATCAAACATTGAAAGTCATTTGAGCTATTTTAGTTATGTTAGTTGTTTTAATGTGTAGCTTCTATGTAAGCTTAAAAATCTGGACTGTACTTATACATGCACTTTGCTATTTAACCATAAAAATATAACAAGCAATGAAAAGTAGATACTTTACAACAACATGAGATCCAAGTTCAAAATGGAATGACCACTAAACAAACCAGAAACTGGTTTATATCCCAAAGAAGGTGGCCTTATACATATAGGATTGAAAGAAAATCCTTTGTTAAGAGCTTCTTCCAGAGATTGAAATGATTTAAACAAATACTACCCCCAAAACCAATTGATAGCATCAATTTATACTAAGTATCCAAAATGAGTTAAAGGGCATGATAATCAATAGAACTCTAGGCTGCTCTTATTTTTTATGACCAGGTAAAAATTGTTACAGTTTTGCTGGGAAGTTTTGCTTCCTCTGTTATGTTGAAAGGATTTTACACCTTTGGATTACCTATTATTTCAGCCTTAGTGAATTCTTTTAATGAAAAAAAAAAATCCTTTGAAGACAGCGAAAGGAATGTAGGAATTTTTTTCAGCCAAGAAAGATAAAAATGTTTTGGAAGTATGAAATTCTGAAGTTATTTGATAAATGGCAGAAGGCTGGAACAAAATGGTAAATAGGTTACTCAATAAAATTAAATATAATAATTTGTTTTTCATTTTTACATTAAAAATTGAACAAACTTTTTTTGCCAATTCAATAGTCATGTTATAGAGAATAAATATCATTATCTTTTCTTTTCTCAGTTACTAGTGGAGATTCTGAAACTTCTAATATTCAATCTGTCAATTATGGATCGGGGCCAAATGGTGTGAGTAGCACTAATGAACAGGTAACATATATCTCAGATTCTTCAGAGCCAGCTTACATAGACCCACAGGATGTGTCTAATCCTCTAAACAACCTATCAACCACAGATTTTGGCTTTTTGCAACAACAGCAACAATCACCGTCGTCATCATCATCACAGTCAAAACATAGCTTGTCCTTAAAACCCACATCTTCTCAGGCACCAACTCAGCACCAGCTCCAGAACCAACTGCCCATGGTTTTTCCAAATCTTCCACGTGGCATCTACATTACACGAAATGTTAGCCCTGATCAGCCCTCTGAACCTTCTGGTTCTGATAGTTTCCCAGGCTCACACATCCAGGACTCCAACAACTTATTGCAATCAGTGAAAAAGGTAAGCCATGTCACCTAAAAGCCTCCCTCTTACTTGCCTGACAGTTTTATCTACAGGTTTAATTGTAGAAAGAAATGAACTTTCTTTTGGCAAAATAGGCAATCAAATCAAGTGAAAATTTTGAGGAAATTTCATTATTATTATTATTATAATAATAATGAAATTTCATAGAATATTATAATAATGAAATTTCTACAAAATTTTCACTGAATTGATTGCCCATTTTACTAAAAAAAAGAAATTCCGTTTTTTGATGATTATTATTATTTTTTAAGTTACTAAACAAGGCACCTTCATTCATCTCTAGCTCATTTGGTTATTCAATCAAATGAAAGTTTTATACTCTTTGAAATAAAGATTTCTTTTTTCCTTTGTTAAACACGTGAAGAAATTTGGATTTATAAATGTTTCAGTAATTAATGTAAAAAGTCTAATGCTGAAAATATTTAGAGTTGACAATTCATAATTGGAAATAAATTCATAATTGAGGAAACAAGACCAAAAGCGGACAAATATCACCTGCTGTTTCAACACATCAATGCGGTCAAGTGAGATAAATAAGAGTGATTTACATGGAAAATTTATAGGTATTGACTCAAGTGAAATTAATATAATACAAGACTATAATAACTGAGCCTGTATGAGAGTCAATTCATTGCACTAGCAGATCAGTCTTTGACCAAAGTTTGCTGTCACACCATGCAAGATCCTTTTCAATACTTAATAAGCTTAGCTTTTCACAAGACCAGTGAAATGGGACACACAGCAAGGATTGAACTCATTACAATGGTATTGATCTGAGAGACTAGATTATTGCTTCATGGCAAAGCATCCCATATTCATATTTACTAAGGGTTTTACTTATGTGGCACCTTGAAAAGATTGAACTAATTATTAGTCTAACAAAAGTAGCTTATTAACCATCATTTTGCAGCAGACACCTAGAGGCTTACATAAAATGAAACCATAATTAAATAGGCAGTGATAACATTCTGAAAAAATATAAAAAATGATAATTAAATCTAAATATTGGTTGACAAGACATTACTGCATATTAAATTGTAAAGTATACTAGACAAACCAAATCCTTTGTCCTAATTAGACAAACTAATTAAAAACAAAAAACCAGCATCCTATTTGCTAGCAAATACTGTAATTAATAATCTTTATTTTTTTTTTAATTTTCAGCCTGAAGATGAACTTAGTGAAACAGACAGAACAAGAGACAGTGGTGTTATAAGGTAACTAATAAATTCAAATTTATTTACAGCATCAAAATATATATATATATATATATATATAATTCAACATGCTCGAATCCACTCCTTAAATATTGGCTCTCACTGTGTAATTTCCTGTGTTATTTGCGATGATGTTATCATATATTACGGCATGGGGTGAGTTGAACATTGAGAGCCAATATTTATGAAGTGGGTTTGGGTGTGTTGAATGCTAAAGGGTTAAATATTTGATACAAAATTTAATTACTTTTTATCTTATAATTTAAGCTGATCCATTCTTCATCCATTTCTGGGAGACAGTATAAAGTAGCTTTGGACAAAAATTCATATAAAGAGTGCTTAAAAATTCTCGGTTCAAATCACTTCTCAAAATGTAAAGAATTGATTATTTGCTTTTTTTTTTTTTTTTTTACAGCTTCTTAGCCAGGCTGAGAACTTTTCAGCACCTATTCATATCTTGCACTTCAGGAACCCATCACATCATTTAACAATTCTATACACTTTAGGCTTCTGAAGTTATGATATTCTTTGCTTTCATATGTTTCATTGCCTTACCATTTTAGGCCCCTTACATAATATTTACAATCTTTTTGGTACTCATTTTTTTTCCACTCCAACTTTTTCAGGCTATATTATTGACTAATTATTAGTACTACTAATAATAGTAATACCTTATAAATTTTTTTTAAAGAGTATTTTTGTTGTTTAACATTTTTTATTTTTTAACTAGTTATCTCATATTTGGAATTTTTATCCCATATTTTTAGCTGATTCATTCTTCAGTTGTGAAATTAAATTGCAAGATTTTATAAATGTAGCTCATGATAAGACTTGAAATCAACTCGCATACACGAGGAACTTGTCATAGATTTTTTTCAAACTATTATAAATTTTTTTTTTTTTTTTACCCATAATCCTTTTGTTTATTTTTCCCTAATCAACTTTCTTCCATGCCCTATTAGAATAATTTGAAGAAGTAATCTTTTAGAAGACAAATTGTAAATATTTGTTATTCTTATTCAGTCACTTATTTTTTTTTTAATATATAGCACAGATGACTGTGACAATATGGAATCAAAAGAAGCCATTGCTGCACAGATTGAAATGATGCAGTCTTCCAGTTTTGCAAATTCTGAATTAACAGATGCTTCACAAACAACGTAAGTGATTATCAAGTGCTTGATATTGTATTAGGTTGACATGGGAAAATAAGACATTTATTTTTTTCTTTGTTAAAAAATCATTTAATCCAAACAGATCTTTTTTTCACAAGTAAGGAATCATCTTAGAAATAGCTTGTTTTTGTTTACAAGTAAACAGAGATCAGCACACCTCAAAACAATGCAGTTTTTTGATTTTCTAGCAATTCACGTGAAATATACTTATTCAATTTTTTCACCTTTCCTATGTGAGCAAGAAGGCGAGAAATAAGCAAGGGAGAAATTCTAAGTTATACAGAAAATAAAAACTAATTGTTCATTGTTCTTGACTCTCAGAATTTTTCTCAATTGTTGTTGATAATGTTCCTATGTTTTCCACAATATTCAGTCTGAATAGTTTCATCTCCAAAGCAAAAGACTGTCAGGGTGTGATAGTGAAAAATTGTACTTCATAGCATTTCTCTGGGCTGGGGGAATCACTTGACTTTGTCCTCTCCAAGTAACATGCAACAGGCTGTAGTGGGTTACATGTTACCAGAAACAAGTAGTAATCTTGACCTGACCTATTATTGGGTAATATAGTGGAATAGTTTCCTGTTGCCTTTGCCATGGTTTTGAATTCAGAAGATTTTAGTCATTTGATCTCTAATTAGTTGTGATACTTTTTTTTACAAATACAATTAGCAGGCTTGCCACCAACTGAAATAAATCAGTTGTAAAAACATTAGACTGGAGATCTAAACCTAACATCAACATTGGTATTTTAATAAATACTTTAGTTTGAAACTGCTTTTCTCATAAGTTATCTCTTCAACATAATCAGTGTATCCAGTGAATTTACCTCAGACAGAGAACTGGGTTTCATAATGTAATAGATTAAGTTTTAAGTTAATTTGGGAGTTAAAAAATTCATATCTTTTTGTACATTATTTTCATACCATTTTTCTCTATCCTATTTTCTTTACACATTCATTTTTGACTTTGCCTTCAATTTTCATTCTCAAATCATTTCCCCAAATGCAGGATTGGTGATAATTCAAGAATTGGTGACCAAGTTCTTTCAAATTTGAATATTTCATCATTACACAATTCAGCATCACAGGAAATATCACCAGAAAATAAAAGTAAGACAATTTATTTTCAATTGTTCCTCTGTTTGTTTCTGTCATGGACAAAGAAGCAAAATATTGACCTCTTTTTTTTTTTTAATCTACTGCAGCTTTGATTCTTATTTAATACAAATAGTTTGACCTTCTCAGCAAATTGGTGAAATTATCTTCAAAACTGAATTACTAGTGATACATAAACTGACAAGTTTTATTTACTAATTTCTGTTTAATAGATCAAAAAGCCACAAGCATAAAACATCCACTGATGATTGGACATGCTACAGTAGGGTTTGTGATCTAGTTTGATAGAAGTACAAAATGCAAAGAGATAAGTAATTAATTAGGAAGATGGAAAAGAATTGTCTGCTTAGCCACTAGCTCCCAGATCCAAACTATTAGAAGTTACTAAAAATATTATTTTTTTCTATTTGAATTTTCTGATGAATCCTAATTAAGTTAATGATGGAATAAGTGCATGATGAGTTTTACAACAATAAAATATCCCCTATTACATTGTTAAATATTTGAGTTTAACAAAATATTGCAATAACAATCATGAATAAGAGAGTACAAATGAAAAAGAAAAAAACTTGAAATTGACACCTTTCCCATTTCATTGAAACAGATTAAACATTTCTATCTTCCCTTTTTTCTTTTTCTCACTGAAACCAACTAATGTCTCTGATATGTCTTTCCATGCAAATTGTAATAGTCCATTATTTTGAGGTATTGGCAGATGTTAAATACAGCTATCTTCTACGTTCTTTCATTATCTCACTGAAACCAAGTAGCATCTTTGATATGTCTTTACCGTCTTTCCGCAATTAAAATAAGATAGTCCATCATTTCTGAGATATTGGTAGCAGATAATGTGCATACATGCTAAATAACTAAAGCAGGGACACAGAATTATAAGAAAATTTTTTAATGAATTCCAGTTTTCTTGGTAGAAGTTGTCATAATTAACAATGAATTGAAGCACAATTTTCTTTCTCCCATATTTTGTCACTTAGTCATTCTTTTACATTTTGCTAACTACAATAAAAAGAATATATAAAATGAAGGAGAAAGAACCAAGTTTTGGAAAAGATTTCAACCTAAATGCTAAAGCAATCTTACATGAAATAGGTAGCAGGATCTCATTAAAATCTATAAGTTGATTTCAAATATACCTGTTTGTAATCATTATTTGATTAACAAGTAAAGTGATCAATTTATTTAATATTTATGAACTTATAGAAAAAAATATTTAGATAGAGAAAGTCAATTTTATCCAGAATGTTCTGTTTGCACATTTCAAATGATTCATATTAATGGTGACTGACTAAAATAGTAACTAAATCATTCCAATTTTAGCAGATACACCTATACTTCCACCCATAGACATAAGCAATTCTGGAGTTAACATGTGGTGGTGTAATACAACTGGTTTGACTTAAGCTACGTTATTTAAAACATGAGTACAAGTGCCCAAACCAAATTTGGAATGCTAATGACTTTTCTCAAAGTTATAGACAATACTAAAATAAATGCTTTTCAAAGTTTATTTACAATTGTTTAATAGACACTTTTTTAAAATTCAGAATGTTGTCATTTTAGAAAATTTTGGTGCAACATTTTGTTAGAAGTCTTTACCAAAGAATGTTTAGATTGTCTTATTGGAAATGTCTATTTTATTTTCATTGAAGGAGGGGGAATAAAATCTGCTCTGTTTGTAACAAAATTGCCTTTAAATTAAAAAATAATTAAAAAAAAAGTTATGACTAAAGACAATTTGGGATTTATCATTCAAGAAGATTTTGTAGAATCAGTGACGTCATGACAGTTATTTTAACGAATTTTGCAAAAACCATTGAGTTTTGAAAGAAAACTAGGGAAAAAAAAAAACCAACCCTACCCTAATTTGGTGGGGGTTTTTGGTTTTAATTTTTGCAAGTGAGTAGGACCAAATTTAACATTCCCTTAAACATTTCAGCAAAATTTATATTAAAAAAAAAAAAAAAATCATCACTTAGATGATTTTCAGAGAGTACCATAGTTACATCAACATTTCTATACAGGATGAAATATTGTTCCCAGCAAACACAGCAAAAGACTAAATTTCTTGAATAAAAATTTTGAAATCTTTTTCACACACACATCTAATATAAAAAAAATACTTATAAGATTATAGAAATAGGTACTTTTTGGTGGGGACTAGGTGATTATATTAGTAACGTGCAATTAGTCAGATTTTTACCACGTCAGTCAGTTTAATTTTGTGTGTGGATTTGTTTTACTAAGTTTCATTTTTTTTGTATTTTATATTCATTAGCAAAAACCATTGCAATAACTACATCAAGATTTATTTAAATAAAGAATATTTGAAATGCAACATTTTGATAAATCTAAATTTTAAAATAAACAAAACATTTTTTGAACATCCGGAGAACTTTATTCACTTTTTCAAAATAATCATTTGGATTTAGGGAACTAATCAATTATAATTCTTAATTTTAACAATCACAAAATACCAACTTCCAAGTATGTCGCTCTGAAATTTAAGAAAACTGCCTATCCCTGTTCATGTTGTATGTTTTTTATTCTTTCAGATTTACATCAGCTCCTAAGATAATATTTTTTAAAAGTTGTTGGCAAATTTTGTTTTGCTTTACATGAAAATGTCACTTTTATTTGAAGCCTGGGGCTTTATTACTTAAAAATAACGGCTTGTGATCACATATTGAAAGAGATTTTCTTATCTGCCAGACACATTGTTTTTTATTTATTTGGAAGAAAACAGACCAAATGTCTAACTAGAATACAAAAATTTGAAACTAAGCTCTCATGTCAATTATTAACTTTATAATAAGATTCAAACTGAGAAGTCACACACAATTCTGATTAGTAGAGGTACTTTGCAAATTTATTTCTAGAAATGTAAAGAGTGAACTCACAAAGCCCATTACTCCACACAAAGCATCTTTTTATTAAATCTAATACAAGGCTACAATTGTGGAGTACTCAGTAACTATTGAACCCATTATACAATAGTAATGGTCTACTAGACTGGCTTGCTCACTATTACACTGCAGGTAGAGATCCATTTACTATTTATTTAGAAATAGAATTTGTCTGAACATAGTGACACAAATATCAGATTCCTTTGAAAATTGAACAAACTTATTGGTTAGAAATTTTCCATTTTCTTTTCCAGCTGATGGTGAAACTGACTCAATTGCAGAATATTTCAAAATCTGTGATAACAACACACGGCAAACATTTCTTGATGTAATGCGAAATGACAGGGAACAGCACATGTCAGCCTTGGATAAAATCAATACTGAACTAAAATGTAAATAAAATTATTTTTTCTATTTTAAATATTGTGATGACTTTTATTAAAAAATTTTCTCTCAAAAATAGAATATCACTCAATTTTAGAAATTTCTATCTGCATAGTGCCTCATAACACACAAGTCCTCCACAGCTCTTGTTTGTGGATCACCCTAGGATCACCAGCCCATTACTTCCCTCTCTTTCTTCATAGTCCTTCACCATGTTTTTGGTCTTCCTCCTCCTTTTTACTTCAGGGGCCCATTGCAGTTGTTGCTTGGGTCTTGCCTTAAGGTATCTTACTTATTATAAAACGCAGATTGTGTGTGTGTGTGTGTGTGTGTCTGTACATTTATATATTGGATTGGATTTCCTACATTTTTCAACAAAACTTCACAGGACTATGTAAAATTACCTTGCAGTGGTTCTGATGGCGCCAAAAAATGGAAAAACAATTGTTTTTGCACAAAATCAATTTGAAAACACAATTAAGAGGCATCACTTGCCAGAATGAAAGGGGGGCAACTCATATCGAGTTATACTTATAAAACCCAGGTTGTTTGTGTGTATGTGTGTGTTCGTTTATATATAGGATCGGATTTCCTACATTTTTCAACCCATTTCAACAAAACTTCACTTTTTTTTGGCAGGTAGTGTTTCTTATTGTCTTGCACACTTTTTTTCTTTATTTTTACATTCAGAATGCTTTAAAAAATTCATTTACAAGACAATTATTATTATAAAATTCTATGCAATCGATAGACTCATAATGATTGAAAACAATGTTTTTGTTTGAGTTTGGGTTTGACCAATTCGTAAAAAAAAAAAAACTAATTAAGACATGCGTGTCCATCAACCTTAAACAATAATCTTTGTTAATTTTATTTTTCAGTCTTTATGATGGTTGATACTTGATCTATCTCTTACTGTTACATTCCCGGACAACGCTGGGCTCTACTGCTAGTACTTAATAAACTGACATCATCTTCATTGTATCATGACACTAATGGGGGTTCTATGGCAGCACATTGGAGCAGTTTCACTATTTTCACATGGTCTTGCTGTTTAATCTTGAGTATCCTTCTTAAGCTGTTGTTATAAAATAGGTCAATAAGTTTATCTCATTTCCCATGTCTTGCAATCATCTAATAGGCTGTGGGATGATCAAAGTCTTATAAAACCTTATCTTAGTGCTTTTGTTTATCTTAGTTGCATTTTGTACAAATTTTTAGAAATTTAATGTGAACAAGAAAAAAATTAAATAAAATAAATACATTCAACAGTTTATTACAAATTTTTTGTTGAAAACTAAGAAAAAATATTTGGAATTTTCTCAATTTCTGTATTTATTTAAAAATGATTTTGGAAATGGCAATCACATTTGTCTTAATTCATGGGCACAAACAATTACCTTTTCTTGATTTTTCAATACATCTAGAGTAAAATCTATTATCAGCAGTATGTTGACCTATCTTGTTGATAATACTTTCATTCATTTCTGACCATTAATAATAATAAAGTCATATTTTGTCAATAATGTTTGCATTAATTCCTGAATCCCGACAAAATTTCTTCTTACAGACAGAATACCAAAACTTGGTAAATTTGGTACATAATATGAGTTATATCTAGGATGGTGATTTTCTTTTTCATTCATTGCCTGGTGAATGACTTATGGATTGTTTCAATTGGATAATTTAAATGCCAGTCATATGTGTACATAGAAATGAGATGAATGGGAACAAGTTAAAATAGTTTAGAACCAAAACTTAAGCATTCTAAAAGTCTATGATGAGAAATATTCAACTATTTTAATTCATATATTTGCCACATTTGTTCATGTATTAAATGTAATTTGGAAATTTGGGGATCTTTTCTTATTATATATTACAAGTTTTTCTGTGAAAAGTTAAAAATATGCATTCTGTAGTCTCTAGAGATGCCTCGAAAGTTAATTCTCTATATTTTTTAAGTTATATTCTCTCTTTACTCTGTGTTCAACCGCTAAATAATATATTGCTTAAATTCTGTTTATAATTTTAGTATTTGTGTTTTCACTATACATTGGCATACAAAACTTTCAGGCCATCTTGGTAAATTACTTACATTTGTTGATTTTACTCCAAAATTGAGCAGTATGCTTTTCTCAATACATTTTATGATCTTTGAGGACCAGAAAACAAGTTAGTGGATGATAGAGCACCTTAAGCATAGTGATGTAAAAATATATAAAGGTTATGTAAAAATACTGGACCACGAGTGAAAATTTCACCTTTCAGCTCTTTCCTTAAGTTCAAAAGGACTGTATTTTGAGGGTCAAAAGTGATCTTTATTATTATAAAAAAGTAATAACATCAAAGTATGGCATTAGTAATTAGTGTTGCTGCTTTTGGCTTGAATAATTTTTTCAGAATGGAACAAGGTCCAGATTTTTCCATTGGGAATTTTTTTTCCATTCTTTTTGGTAGTAATCTCAAAGTTCTTGGAGAGTGTGGTTTTCATTGGTGCACTTGTTTCTTCAGTTCCCACCACAATGGTTCAATTATATTGAGTATCAGGATTTTGTGCTGGCCTGTCTTCCAAAAGTTGAACATCATTCACAAGAAACCTTTTTGTTACATGTGATGTGTGGTAAGGAACACCTTCATGCTGAAAAATTTCTCCATCTTTGTAGTTTGGCAAAAGATTAAACCATAGTAAACTAATATAGTTTTCACTGTTTAGTTTTTTATCTACTTTTACCAATTTTCTTCTACCATTGCTTTTGCTGTAACCACACGCGATTACATGTTCACCAAATTTTACTATCTTTGTGGTGTATCTTGCAAGGTTTATTTCTCTCACTGGTCTTTTTACATATTCTCTTGTATTAGAATGGATCTATTTTTTATTCATAGCTAAAAACTTACTTTTGCCACTTTCCAGCATTCCATGTTAGATGTTTTTTTGATCACTTCAATCTTATATTCCAATGTTTTTTCCATAATACTCTGTGTATTATATCAACTGAAAACTCACTTGTGTGGCTGTTAATTTTGGTTTGCCTGTTGAGACTAACAATCTATCTTTGTAACCATTAGTGGTTTTCCAGTTTTCTTTGCATATAAAACACTTCCAGTAGTAGCCAACATTTTTGGATTTGAATACTGTTTCTGGAGATTTCCAGCCACTGGCTTTGTCTCATTGAATTATCTTTTGTCTGGTAAATTGAATTTGTTGATTTCCCTTCAAAGTCAGCAACCTTCATACATTTTTGTTTCAGCAGTTAAATAGTCACAACCCATTTTTTTCAGAAAAAAAAAAAAAAAAAAAACAAGCTAATATTCAACTACAATGACTCCTCATTCACCTTACACATGTTAATAAGATGGAATAATTCCTACTTATAAATTTGCATACTATAATGACTTTATCATCTCAGATCTTTCATTGGCTTCATAGTTTTGCATGGCCTTTTTCAGCTTCAAGTGGTATATTTTCTTCTACATGGTACCTATGAAAACAACTTATTTTCCAATCCTCAATGTCCACAGACACTACTCATAAACTTAAAATGATTATAAACCTTTATTTTATTATGTAGTTCACCCAAAACTTTTGCATGCCAGTATATTTATAATTATTAAAGTGAATGAAAGTTTTGACATATTTGTTTAAAAATCATATTCATAGTATTATGGGTGATATTGCTAGTTTAAAAATATAATCTTAAAACATTATTTCTGACAAAATATCCAATTTTAATGTTGAAAAATGAAAGAAATATAAAGTTGTCTTTTTCATTATGTGAATGTGTCTTGTTTCTCTTTTGGCAGCTGTAAAACATCAGTTACAACAAACAAAATCTGAACACATTTTGAAAGAACAACAATTGGAGGAAGTGATGAAAGAAATGAATCAATTACAAATGGAAGTTATGAACCTTCACTCACGCTGCACAGAACTTTCTAATCAAGAGAAAACCTTACAGAAGAAGTTGAAGACCTACACAAAAAAAGTCTCCTTATGTGATTCTGCTTTGAATGCCATGACAAACGAGAGGTGACCAAACGTGCCAAGTTTTTGATTAATTGATCCATAACTATTCCATCTCTCTGCTGCACAATCTGATTAAAATGTTCATTGTCAAAACTGAAAACCTGTTGGCCTCAAAAGCAGTTCACAAATGATTTTAACAAGATTCAAATACTTATGTCATCATCTTCATATTAAATCTGAGAATAACAATTTCTTCAGACAGGTTGACATTAAAATGATTAATGACCAGGAAACAGAATAAATAAATTATAAAATATTAATATATCAGCAGTTTGTTTAATTTGTCACTCCCAAATTAAATCCAAGGTTCAAATTATCCATCTTTAATGTGTATAAACTGACTAGAAATATACACTAAAAAGGATAATGAAATTATGAAATACATTTCAGTGTTTCATATGTCACTCAATTAAATCCAAAATGACATGCTTTTTTTTGTGATTATCAGTTTTCTTTTCTTCCCTATTAAATCCAAAGAAAATATCATTTTTTTCCTAAGTTTTCTGTCTTTAATATTAGGAACAAAGTGTAATGTTTAGTTATTTTTGTGTAAGCAAGAGAAACACACACACAGATTGCCAAGTGTTGTATCCAACTTCCTACCTATCTCTAATGTTATGTTTCTAATAACACTATCTAAAACAGTGTTTCTCAACCGGTTACTTCAGGGCACACTTTTAGAATAAGTAAAACTCTGGAGTGCACTTTTAATAAGTAAAAATTAGTCATGAAATTTGAAAATAAGAAAATGATAAAGTCGTCTCCTGAAATAAGCATTTATTTTTAAGACCTTATATTGTATATTTAAGTCTGTGTGAAACCTGTGCTTGATGAGCTTTGGCAAAGAAGAATATTACCATTAATGATTGTCATATTTAGTTTAGCATCCCCAAAGAGGATTACCGGTACAGTTTTCATTTAAAGGAGATTTGAAGAATCTGCTTCTTTCTTCTTTAATGACTAATTTAAATCTCTTGAAGAAGACAAAAGGGAAAGGATTATCTGCTACTTAAAGAAGCTTCTTGTTTTTCATCCTTTGGGGTAACATGCTACCCTCCTCATCAGCAGAAAAGCTAGTGGGGAAGTTGGTTTACATGCCAACCATGCAGCAGTTTGTACTCCATTACATATTACAGTAGTAAGAAATATATAAAACAAAACAATGATTACATTTTCTCCATATAAGCAAAGTTTTTAGCATTTGCTAATTGAAGGTTTATAAAGTTGACAGTAAATGAATGTTCTGAGATAGCATCAGAAAACTGGAAAGGCAATTTATTTGATCGCATTCTCATTCATTGTGGAACTTCCATTTTGTAAAGTTCCGATATCAAAGTGTAATGGTTCTGAATTTCTCAGTTTCATCTATATTTCAGATACATTACTGCCCTCATTGTCTTATGTACCTAGGTTTTCTTCAACCTCTACAGATTTGCGTGATTGTAACATTTCACCTTCAAATATATTCATTAATCCTGACATAAATCCTAAGCTTGTGAATGTTTTTTGCAATTTTTCTTTTGTAATCTATCACTATTTTTTTGTACTGCCAACTTATGGCAGTATTTCATGTGTAAACATAGAATCTGTGCCCGCAAAAAAAGTGTCAAAAGGACAGTTTTTCCCTTGACACTGCTATTATTTTAACTACCTTTGCTCCTCGGCAATGTTTGTTTTAAAAAGTGAATTGTAATAAAACCTAAACATAAATGATGAAACAAAATTTATACATTTTTTTTAATTTTCAAGAATTTACAACAAAAATATTAAACTTTATTTATTAGATCATTTATTTACAAAAATAATTTTATATTTACATTCTAAAAACTAATGCAATGCAATATTTATCATTTACCAATTTATAAAGAAATAAAAAATTTTATTCATAAGTTTATAAACATTTACTAAATTATTAAAATGTGAACCAACTATAAAGAAATCCTTATTTACCATTTTATAAAGCTCAAATCAACTGGCTGATGTTTTGTCAACCATTCCAATAAACAATATAATAATGTTTATTGTTTTTGTTGTCAATTCTCAAAGACAAAGAAAATATTTAAATTCACTTTCACATGTTTAGGTTTTATTACAATTTTAATCATTGCAGCTGAAAACAATAAATATTGCAGAAGAGTGAAGGCATTTGAAATAATAGTGTTATCAATGGAAAAACTTTCATTTTACACTGTCTTATTGAGGGCAAAAATGTCCAAGTTTGCCAAATGGTGTCTTCACCCAGCCTTTCATTGACCGCACACATGAAATCAAATGCCACATTGTATCTCTATTCTTTGTCAGTGTGCACCAATAACTAGGAAAGGCACATTGTAAACTTAGATTTCTTTCTATAAATAAAAACAATAAAGGTAAGCATGTTCAACCACCTTGTTTAAAACAGCTTTATAAACCCAGGCTGAAGAAAACCAAAGAAATCTTATATTCATGAAAGCCTGACTTCAAGAAAGACACATTCTCTTAGATTTAATATTCAGTAGAATTAAATAATGCTCTTGTAACAGGGTAAGTAGGGGCATTTTTGGCAGAATAAGAGTCTTGGGTTTAATCAAACCTATGTGAACAGCCTTGGTATCCTGTCATCAGTATATATATCTACAAAAAAAAAAGTGGGTAGGGATGGAAAGTAAATGAAATTTTTCATTTTCTATGAAGAACATGCCAACAAAGTGAACAAATGTGTTACATGCCCTCTCTAAAACCCTGAAATGGAAAGCTAGTGAATGTTACAAAAACTGTCTTTACTCACAAGTCTGGCATGTTGCTGGAATCTGCCTAACCATGCATCTTTAGTTGCTTCTGTGCTCTTCCTCAAGATAGTGTTCCATTGGTTGGCCATTCAGAGTCACATGACTGATCAATTGTGGTGCATGCTAATTGGGAAAGAGGAAGAAAATTTAACCCAACAATAGTTAAAATCTAAAAATATTACTTTAAATTAGGATTAAACAGCTATACCCAGCATTGAATGTTTGACAAAGTTTAACAGATATCCTACCCACCACAAAAAGAAAAAAAATGAGGTATCAAAAACAGTTTTTCTCTAGAGATTACTGTATACTTTTTGGCAATTTTGATTGTTTTAAAAAGCTACTTTTACAATCTTAATAAAACCCAAACATGCGAAACTAGATTTACACATTGTCTTTTCTCAAGAATTGACAACAAAAGTATTAAATGCTATTCTTGTAAATATACAAATCTAATACAGTTTAACATTGTTGTTAATTCTTAAGAAAAAAAATGCATAAATCCAGTTTCATGTTTGGGTTTTATCAAAATTCTAAAAATAGCCTTTTAAAACAATCAAAATTACTGACTGAGTATACAGTAATATTAGTGTCAAGGGAAAAACTGTCCTTTTGAAATAGCATTTTTTTGCAGATACGTTTATTAAACTTTGCTGAACATTGATCTTTTTTCACAGGATCTAGGTTGCACCCATCTTTGCTGAGAGCCCTGACTGGTAGTTGCCCATATTATGGTCATAAAGTTTGTGTTTTTTTTTTACTTTGGACAGTTTCCTTTATGCTCATCTGCTATTAGCTGGATGCCACTTATGAATTTAATTTGGTGTTCTCTTTGACCACACAAAGAAAACAGTTAAACTGATTATGACAACATATATTGAAAGACACGCTTCCAAGATACTAGTAGAAATTTCATTGAAAGCTAGAAATTTCTAATTTTGCAGTTTACTTAAATTGTAGAAATGTGTACTGACCCAGAATATGATAAAAAGTAACAAACATAGACCGAAGTAAAACTAGTAATAAAATAAGAGTGTGAGATAATTCAGTGTCCTTATGTAGAGAGATATTCTCTTGATGACATGCATGATACATGTATAGGTAATCATGTATTTTTTGATACATGACTGACGAGGCAGATTTTTTTTCCACAGTAGATTGCCATTTCTTTCTGCGGTAGACCAGTTGCCATCCAAAGCTATAGAATTCGGTCTGCTATTTACTCATAGCTGGGGGGAGAAGAAGAGGATTCATACCTTTCCCAAGGGTATTAGCACATAAGTGAATGTAATGGATTTGATGAATTCACACTCGGCTCTCCGATTCCTCAATTCAAGCTGCTATCAATTACTCCACTGTGACTGTAAAATGAATTATCTGGAATCAAGATTCATTAATATGGAAATATTATCCATAAAAAGTCAAAGTCTTTTCCTTTTAACTGGTTGTTCTGTCATATCTTCACTCTAAAAGAAAAATTTTTTTTTCAAATAAATTGTTCACTCACTACAAGGGTCAAGAGCCATTCAAGAAAGAGGGTTACTGAGTGACGTTGTATGAATGTGAAGAGGAGGAGGAAGTGCAGTTTATAAGGATATATATGATAGATAATGGTTAAACCTAGACTTAAAGAGGTTAAGATTGTAGTGGTCAAGGAAGCAGCCTCTCAAGTGTGTTCTACATAGTAAGAATTTCTGTTTGAAATGCTACTAAGGGAATATGAAAGAAATGAGGGAGGCGGGCATTTGTCCCAGTGTACGTAGTATGGCATGTCTTAGCTGTGAAGGTCTGAACTGATAGAACTAATAAATGTTAGATATTTAAGAACAGATTAACAATGATCTATTTGTGTGTTGCAGGTTGTAGCTGAGTGAAAATGTATCAGAAGGTGATTTATGTAAGGCAAAGATTATGCATGCTTATTATGCATTATCCCACAACACGTAGATCAAATAAAGAATATAAGGACAATTTGTATTGCAATTATCCATTGCAAGAAATTACTAAAAACAGTGGTTAGAGATCCAACAATAAAGAGATTTTTATATATTCAATAGATATACATGCAATGATAACAGAATGTTTGTTGATTGTGGCAATTGAGACAAGGTTATGAAGAATGTTCATGCAAAAATTTGATCAATAAAAGTTAATGATTTTGATTTGTTAATGAAATTAAAATAATTTAGTTTCTGCAAGGAAAAATCTTAAATATGTTCGTTCAAATATTAGTGCATAT